CTGAGGGTCCGGTGTTACCGGCACACGGGGCAAGAAAAACCGAGGTTTGGTGTGGGTTTGGCGGCACGGTGCAGAGCCTTTCCCGAACTGGGCGCTCGGTGAGGAGGAGACCAGTTGGTGCGTGGGTCATGCGGGGGGAGGCGGGTGAAGGACTGGGAGGGGAAGGGCGTTCAGCCCGGTGTGTGGTCCTGACTCGATGGATATTTGTAGGGAGGTTTTCAAGGTGCTTGTTTCGGTAGCTTTTGCAAGCTCACCCTTAATCGAGAGTTTGGAGAAAGCGTATGAATGTTTATTTTGGTGCTGAAGATCAGTTTAATGTCAAACCCAACAAATCCAAGCAAAATTAGCAGCCCAAAAATACCTGTCTCTCTCTAATCTTAAAATTGTCATAGTAAAATTTTTGTGTTTGCTTAAAGGCAGGCTTATGACATTTTATTAAGTGTAACTTTAAGAAGCTGCTTTGGTGCTTTTTATTCCCCGAGACACCCATCTTGCAAGCAGCTGCCTCTGAGAGACGGAGCCATTGACTTTGAGCGTCCAGCGCTAAGCGGCTACTGGCATTCGCATGGCCGGACTTCATGGAATGAATGTGGGGGGAGATAACAAAGTTCGTATTAATTGATTTAACTGATATGTATGTGAATTATGTTTTAAGTAGGATGTGGTGTTTGTGAAATATGGCCAGGTTTCTGCAGTGATCTTATGTATCTGATGACTTGTTGATGTTTTTTAGGTTGCAGGCAGGAGAAGGCTTTGTATGTGCAGAAATATTTTCAGATATATAGAGAGCAAGTCACAGGAGTCATTTGAAAATTAAAATTTGATGCTTGACTTCCGGAGGAGATGGATAAGTGCATAAGTGGTTCTGTCTCTTTCGGTTTCAGATTCTCTCAGATGTGTTGCTAAGAGATTAAAGTCAGTCATATGTGCTTTGTATTTAACTGAAAAGGCTTGGCTAAATCTGATCTATTAAATGGAAAAAAACACAACTGGATCTTTGTATATAAACTAGCCAGTTTAGATGGTGCAGAACTAACTAGCCGGTTTAAACTGGTGCAGAACTGCAGGAGTGCCATGTAGTAGCTAATAACAGCAAGAGCAAAGGACTAAAAATTGCATACTTTTCTTCTGTAAGAACCAGGATGCGCTTGGGCATGCTCTCTTAAGTGTATTTCATGGTTATTCAAAAACTTGTTGAATGTTGGCATTCTTCTAGAAACCTGTTATCGTGGGCTGCTAACAACAGCTTAATGCCAACCTCCTACAAACTGGTTCTGTGGACAGAAAAGTTGGCTATTTAATGATTAAAGTACCAATTCAGTAGGAGTTGGTGTTCATTGTCTTCAACAGCAAATGATCGGTTTAGTGCTCTTGCAGTCCCCAGAATGCTTCAAAGATATTGAGCTTTATCACGCCAATCAGAAAAGGAGATATCCTTTTTATCCCTTTTGAGGAAGTCTACTTAAAATCTACTACCTTAAGTGGTATGAAGGTTGTAAGAGCAAAATAGAAGAAATCTGTGATTAAGGCCAATGTATAACCTGCTAGCATTATGACATAATGCTTAGCACAATCTTTAATTTCCTATTTACTTTTACTGGATTGTGATCTTCGTAATAATGACAAGCATCTCTACTAATTTGTGTAAGAGAAGCAGTAAGCAGCCTGTCCTTTCTCCAGTGGCAATCCTGAACAGATCAGCTGGGTCCTCATATGCCTCTTGCATTACGTGCGAATCAGTCTTCATGCTTGTGCTGATAGTATTAGGGTAAGATTGGTTTTTGTGCTGGAGCTCACAATCACACAAGAATTCAATTTTATGCTGTAAATAGTAAAATGTGCTGAAAATGCTGCATGGGATTGCCCAGCTCTTACTATTTTTAATTAGTATGCGTCTTTTTAATCTCTACTATTACTCTCTGTCTAGGTTGAAGGCATGGTCTTGTTGAGGAGAGACAAACATACTTCTTGTTGGAAACTCTTGGTTTTATTCTTGAGTTGGCTTGAAAGATGGGAATGCCATGTATGATGGGATGTGACACTGGCAGTGCTAGGTGGAGGCTGTAACCCTTGCTGGTCTGTTCTTGGGGAGGAGAGACCCGGAGTCTGTGTTGCAGAAGGCTGCATTGTCCTGCTTCAGCTGCCAGGGCAGTCCATCGTAGCAGCCTTTGCAGTTAACAGGAAAAATGCTGTCAAAAGAACTTTCCGTTGCTCTTGCTGTTTGAAGTGCTGCAAGAATTGGCAACAACATTGTTCCAAGGTCTTGTTTTTCACATTTTCTTCTAGAATCTGGTTGTGATAGAAAGGGAGAGACTTTTACGCCCCAAAAGAGAAGTTTCTCGAAGAGTTCAGATTGCTGTTGTGCAAGCCTCCACATGACAGTTTTTCTTTGCAGTTTTTTTAAGTGTGCATATTGCTTTTCTTGTGAGAAAAAGACTATGTTCTTACCTTGGATATCTTTTACAATCTAGATTGAAACTTGGTAAGTCCTGAAAAATACTACGAAGGGAGAGTGTTGGAGTTGACAATGGTTTTAAATTCTTACTTACCTTTTTTTGTCCAGTGAGGTTTCATGAGTCAGACTGGGCTGTTGGGAGTTTCTTCTGAAAATGTACATGTTGGTTGAAAACCGCACAAGTTCCTATCTTCATCTGAAGAGGACACCTGGCATCCGATCTTGGTCTCTCTTTGTTGGTAAGACCATAATATTCCTGAGTTTATTTTAGAGCTTGCTTTAAGGGAAGGAGATCACAGAATAAATTCCTAAAAGAGCTTCTAACAGGAGATGCCTGTGTTTCAGGCACTTTTTCTTTCGAGAGGAATCATCAACCTTTGAACTTCTCCTTTAGCATAGCCATTAAATGAGTCTGAAATATGCTCCTCAATGTGGTACTTTCACTGTGAAACTAATAATTTTTCAGTTTGTCATCTGCAGAACCGTGGAGACTCATGGACAGAATTTTAAGGGAGTCCTGAAAGATCAAGAAAAGAAAATTTATTATATGCCATATAGAAATATAAATGTGAAGCTTCTGAAAGGGATGCATACTTATATTGAAAAACATCTAGGTTTTCAGAAACGGAAAAGTGTAGTGGAGCGATGCTGGGGTTAGATCTTGCGTGTGGTTTACAGTGAACTCTTAACGGCGCTGTGTGTATGAAATAGGAAGTCATACAGGATGTTCTGAAAGGCATCTGTTTTTAAACACTAAATATGCAGGAAAAACTGGAGTGGTACTTCTAGGACCACACTGAGAGAGCTGGCGGGGAAAACATGGCATATCCTGCTTTAAGGCTGAGTAGATCCAATTGCTGTAACACTACAACGTTGTCATTGCTTTCGGTGATGTCGTCTTGTCAAGCTCTCATTCAGACAAGATCTTTGCAGTTGCAGCAGCCCTCCGGGGCATGAGGCACTCTGCTGCTTACCCTTCAGTGGGAGAAAGGAGCTGGCAGCTTCTGACAACTTTATTGCAGCAGTTTGCTTTTGGCTCCACAGAGTGCTTGGAGGGAAAAATAACCGTTGTAGTGTTTATGTTGGCACGCTCAAAGTTTTACTGCACTTGAGAGGAAGTATGGTGCAATGGTTAGTTTGAGAGTCCCTCTGAAGTTCTGTTCCTGATTCTGTCACGATCTTTTATTTCTGACCTCAGTCCGTGTGCTTTTAGTGTCTTTGCAGAATGGGAGGTTGGTTATACTGAGCTCAGAGAAAAAAATAACTGACTCTTTTATATAGTGACCAATGTTGCAATCTTATTTGTCCCTTTTTTGAAAAGTGATGGAACTTGTGAATATTTATATGTTGTTTTATCAGGGAATTTTAGATGGTTTGAGCAGCTTGTTTGTCCTAATTCTCTCCCCTCTCATCCTAGGAATAGCCTCCATAGGTTTGGCTGCTGCTTATTATAGTGCAGGTAATGGCCTATCATTTTTTTTGAAGAGTTCTTTATTTCCTGTTGATCTGTTTTTCATGCTGATGACTCCTCTCTACAGCTTCTGTCTGGCTTTACAAAGGCAATGTAGGTACCTATCACACTTCGTGGCATGAATATTAAAATCCAATAATAATTGTTGCCTGTGTATGACTTACCGTGCTTTAATGCTCTGTTTCTTACTCGGCCTCCCTTTCCAATTGCAAGAGTATTTGTAATAATGATATTTAGTACTCTATGGCATTTTGTGCTTTCAGTGTCTTTTATAAGTGTGATTAGCTGGTCCTCACAGCTCTCCTGGGAAGACATATAATGATTGTTTGCCACCATAATGAAATGATTACCTTGCCTTTGATGGAAGTGCTCTTTCTCTGGAAACTGTTAAATCATCACTGGCAGAGATTACTCAAACACCTTTAGAGAACAGACAGTTCCTATCCCCCCTGCAATAGAGCAGACTGCACCAAATGCCAGGTGTCCTTCCATCTATGGAATTTATTCTGCAGGCTGTCCTGTGATTCTCTTGCTGCAGCCTGTTAACATCAGATTTTAAAACTTAATAGTGTGTAGGAATATGCTACCAATATAATCAATGTATCTTTATTTAAAGAGCAAAGTTCAGTGAAAGCTGCTTGAGACATCAGCTATATCAGCCTTTTTCCTTAAGACGCTGCAACAAAGTTTTCTGAAACAATACTGAGCACAGTTCTACTCTGCCTTCAGTAAAAGCCTGAGTAAGCAAATTGCTTACATGTAAACATTTCTAGGACATAAAATGCAAATGTTTGTTTGTCAAGAGTGCCGGCTGCTTCCTTTTATGAAGAAACATGTTTGCTTCAGTGAATTTCCATTGTCTCTTACCCTTGTCCTGTGCAGCACAAATATTTGGTGGTTGACAGCAAGTTGAGAGTTTTGTGGATGCCTTTGCTTTTAGAGGAGAGATGTGTAGTGATGTTACAACCTTGCCAATAATTCATATGCTTATAATTCTGCACGGTTTGGAGCCCAGTGTAGATGGAGTCTTTGAAAAATATGTGAAGAGTTTCTGTATTTTTATCCTGGGAGAGAGCTGTAAAATAGCTTGCATTACAACTAAAGGCAAAAATGTTTCATCGGAGAAACCTTTTTTCCTTTTGTTGCCTTTAAAGGGAGCGTGTTGCTTTTAAAACTAACTGTTTGAATACCAAAGAAAGAAAAAAAAGCCCTAAATATGTGCATTTTTTGCATTGTTCAGACAGCTTGGCATGGAAGCTCTTCTATATGGCCGGGTGTTTCTTTGTGGCAGCACAGAATCTGGAACAGTGGGAGGTAAGATGCTGAACTTTGGAAATGAGGTCATGCAAGTTTAGGATCAGTTGGCAGATGCTGATTCCAGCAGCCCCATGTGCTTGCTTGGTCCAAACAGACAAGCTATGCTTTTGGTTTTGAGGAAGCCCTTTGGGGTTGCTATACTAGGACTAGAATTAAGGCAATAATTCTTTTACTATGCAAGCATGAAAATGTGAAGCTAAACATAAGAGTTTAAGGGGAGACTTCCTCAAAACTGTTTTGTGGCCTTTTCTTCTACTTATATAAGAGGGAGTTAGAATAGCACATTCAGCTGCTGCAACATGATTTTATACTTACCGTTCCAGCTAATGACAGAATGACCATTAAATAGGGTAGCTCCAACCTTCCAGGCTACTTAGCTGTCTTCCACGGGGAAAAGAGTGGTGGTTTTGAAGCTGGTCTATAATCTTGTGGATGTTGATTTGCTGGGAGTTGGACTGAGAGCAATAACCCATTATATAGGCTTGTCACCTTACTGACCTGAGTTCTTACTAGAATAAGCAGCCCACATATGAGACATCCCCATTTGCATGACTGTCACGATATTTAAAATCTAGTGTAAACGTGGCCCATATAGCACAATGCTGGAATTTTGGTGGAGTTAGTGACTGTGTTAGTGAAAAGTATGACTAGAACTTATGTTCAATGTATGCTTATACTGTAGGCCAAACGCAAGTGCCAAAAGTGAAAGTTACAGGAGCTCCGAGGTAATGTTCAAACTTGATCCAGGCGAAGTTTTTATTACATAAAGAACATGGCAAGAGGGGCAATGGAACCAGCTTTAATTTCCTTCTAGAAGTAACACAGGAGATATAGTAATGGCTCTGTTAAAGCCAAGAGCAAGATTGTGATTTTTCAGTCTAATAATAGAGGAATATCTCTAAAATAGCTATGTATTTTTCTGTGTTACAAGATTATTTTGCATATAACTTTTTATTTTACTTTGAAGCATAGGTACTGATAGTGTGTTTAAGAAAATCTTGATTTGTATTTTTCTATTTTACAGGAAGCTGAATTTGACAAGAACAAGGGAACGGTCTGCCTAAAAACATTCAATCTTTACAAAAAAATACTGACCTTCTCAAAAGGAGGCAATGAACAAGGTGAGAAATCAGTTTTCTATGGTAGCAAATGCAATGAGCAGACAGAAGAAATGCATACATGCCCATTTAATAACCTTCTCTAGAGTTCCCTGCTCAAATTAGTCACATGTGTTTCCAGATCTGCTTTGTTCCCAAGCAGCAGATGCTTTTTCAGGTTAGGGTGCTGAATGCATCTTGTTAATTATTTTACTCCAAGGTAACTAGGCTTACACATTCTTTTCCATAAGTCTTAGGCATTCCTTTGGGATGTTAATGTGCAGGTTTACATTTCCCTTGGCTAGCCTGCTTTGCAGGTGGGACTGGTGGAAAAACTTAAATTTTGGATCTGGGAGTTGAGATTTCTGTAATCTAATCTGGGTTTGGTAGCAGGCAAATCTTTAGATATCGTATGCAAGCAGGCATCTTGTATCCTGCAGATATATAATAAGGATTTAAACTGGCATATTCAGTAGGCTCAGCTTAATGCAGTATCTCATTTCTTTTGAGCTTCCTGTTGGAGTAACAGAAATTTAAGTTTAGTATGTGACTTGGTTGAGTCACTGAGAGACAGGAACTCCATTGCAAAGTAAAGTAGGATCCTCTTCGATGTCAGGTTTTTTTTACTTGCTAGTCTAAATCAAACCAACTTTCAGTGTGTTTAGAAAACTGACAAAATTTGGGATGTCCTTAAACTGAATTGTTTTTTAAACAGTTCATTTTGGAGATGGAAGATAAGAGATGTGGAGAGAAGGATGTTTAATGTTTCTGAACTTTTCCTTAGGGTATGTTTATGTGTTGGGGAGCTGAATCTCTTCTTGAGAGGTTATTTGGTAATATTTGTTTCAAGTACTGTTAATGTGGGGATGCAGAGATCAGATGCTCTGAACAGTTAAATCTTTCAGTATTTGTTCAATCTCAGTAAACTTAACACCTGTTTACCTACTCTGTACAGAAAAATAGTTAAGTGTCATTAAAGTAAGTGGGAAACATAAGTAATAAACTAATGGTCCCCAGTTCCTGAGAGGCAGTATATGTTCATTAGGGCCTATACCAGCTAATATGTGCTGTAATCTCTCCTTGTTTGTTTTGCCTGAATAGCTCAGCAATTGTTTGCTGTTGCAGGACTGCCCTGGTTGTATGGGCTGAGAGCAGTAGTACTCCAGAGCTTAGAGTCCCAGTCATGCAAATCACTAGTAGCAGTACTCAGTTTACTGTAACGCTAACAGACTACTTTGTTTTCTATGTCTGTTTACAGTAGTGGCTCTACTGAATGAGATCCGAGATGTGAACGTGGAAGAGGAGACTGTGCGATATTTTGGGAAGGGTTACTTGGTGGTGCTACGATTTGTCACTGGATTTTCACACCCACTGACTCAGAGTGCAGTGTTGGGCTGTAGAAGGTGCAGTGTGGACTTTTTTTTCATTAGTGTGTAAAGTGGGAAATACCAGTCACATGGGTTCGTAATTGCCAACTATTGAGACTCATCTTAGCTCTGTTTTCATACTTGCTGATAGGACCTTGTGTTATCCAGTTTTTTTTAAACCCTTTAATGCTTTCAGTTGCAGACATTTGGATAACAGCATCTCCCATCAGGAGATTGATCATATTTAGATGTCCAAGATCCCTTTAGTGCTGCATGTCTGCTGTAGTTACCTTCAATAGCTCAGCTGTGCAGTGGCAAGGGGGATTAATTCTGTTTTTGCAAACATTCAGTGTATTTATCAGTTAACAGAGGATTTATTTTAAGCATTGATAATAAGCAATCTTGTAGCAGGGACTGTGGGAAAAGGATTGATTTGTTCTGATGTGGAAGTAATAGCTTGGGTTGATATGCCTTCACAAGTGGGATGCTGTCAGTCATACTCTATGCCGTATGTTGACTGGCCCTTCAAGCGGTTATTTTCAAGAATCAGCATGCCTGTTCTTGTCTTGTCGACACCACAGTTCCACTAACTCTTACATTGTGTCTTCTTTTCCACAGTGATGTGGAAGCAGTTGCCAAACTCATTACTAGTTTTCTGGAACTGGACAGAGTAGAGAGCCAACAAGATCTCTCTCAGAGCAGCGAAACAGAGGCTAGTGATGCAGATGAACTACAGGATCAATATTAATAGTCATCATGAGCTGAAGAAAGCAGAGGCTTTCAAACATCTGGGAAAATATACTGATTGTTCTTCAGAGCAAGAAATCCCTCACAATCTTAACCTGGGCATTTCTCTACATGGGCATTTATAATGGGAGGAATCTGTCTTAGGCACACTTTTCAGTGCTAAACTGCTTCAGGCTCCACGTTCCCGGTATCGCCGTTGTAGAGTCCAAAGCAAATTCTGCTTTATTTGTGCCTTTGCCTTAGTTCCTATGTGTGGACACTGCTGGCTTCTGAATTTTATCAGCTCATCAAACATGCCTAGGAATAGTTATTTATTAATGTTGAAATCATTTACTGCTTTCCTATTAGTGAAGTGGAGATACAGATGTGAACTTCCACTTACTACAAACATCTGCTGCAGGTACAGTATATGAAATGTAGAAGAGCTGAATTTGTAACTCGTAACACAGTGCTTTGAGGTTTTTCTTGAAATTTTATAAATGACTGAACATATTGCTAAATTGGTTTTAAGCAGCTTAATATATGCAATTAGGTGATGCAGGATAGTGGCACTTTTATATTCTCTACTACTGACTTGCCACTTGATACCAGTGGAAATTAAAGTTTGAGGGACTGTCTTGGAATAGGAAACATCAGGTTGATCAACTTGTTACATTGTCTTACTTCTCTTGGACTTGCCAAGGAGCCATAAGTAGTACACAAAAAATGATCATGTTGATGTTTCAACATCTTTGGGATGTTCTAGTTTAATCCTGTTCTGCTTAACTTCTGGGCATAGCCTGCCCTAAGATAGAATAACCTTTTTCTAGACCTCAACATTTACTATTTTGACTGTATTTAGAAAGGAAGAAAAGCACATCTGTTACTTTAGGTGGGGAAAAGACTGATGTCAGACAACGTGGTAGCGTAGATTTGTTTAGTATCTCCTCACTTGAAATGATACCAAAGTGCTAAATAATAACTTAATTTTTTTAAGATAGCTGGGATAGATCCGATGTTTGACTTGGCACCCATGTTTTACTCCCTGTTGTGTAGTGTCCTCTGTTCTGATCAATGGTTTCACAAATAGTTAAAATAGGAATTTTCCAAGATATTTTTTGAAGTAAAAGCTACCTCTGTTAGTCAACATGTTCTGTCTAGAACTAAAACTTCATGCCTATATCAACATGTCAGTACAAGAAAAGTTGTAGAGCTGAAACTTCCTTCAACATGTTAAAACTGCTTGTATTAAAGTTCGCTAGGTTTTACTTAGGAATTGTGTGATCTTAAGACCTGAATTAGGAAATATTTACACAGTTATTTCTAGGAGATCTCAACAGGGTACAAGGTAACTGTGTGGTTTGCTTTCACGTTTGGCCAGCAGCAGAGGTTTTCTGGCAGCAGTTTTTTCAGGACTTAAAAGAACCTGCATTCTTGTTTCAAAGCACTCTACCTCTACAGAAGAGAAAGCTACAGAAAGATTTCAGCAGAAGCTACGTCGTGTTGTGTGTTGCAGCTGTATCTGAAATTAAGCACATGCTTATCTGACTAGAGAACAGGTTGTACTAAGATTTCACTTCCAGCCATTTAGACCTAGCATGTGAGCTGTGAGATGAAGATGCTCTTACTGTCAATTTGAGAGGGTAATCAAACTAACAGGGAGTTAGCTGTTGATGCAGCTTGACTGCAACACAGAAGTGGGTCTATTGTTATTAAATAAGAAAAGAAACTTGTAGTTGCATCAGGTATCAAAGCAGCCCTCTGCCAATAGACTTGCTTGTGAAGTCCTCAGAGTTGGTGGGCTAATCATGTGGCTTTCAATCTCTACCCCACATCACTGGAATCGGGAAGCTGCTATGTATGAATGTGGGAAAATTAGTTTGCAGGCAGTTAGTGAAATTATTGCAGGGTGTAACACTTTGGAGAGCTCTTCATTTAAAGACACTGTCATATATACTCTAGGTGACACTCATTTTAGAGAGGAGAATGAGATTGGGAATTTGGAGGACTCTTCTTTTTTTTCTTTTATTTAAAATTTTTTCCCCTCCCCACTGTGTAAAATGACTGTCGAGTGTTCTAAGGACTTCAGTAAGAAATACTGAAAAAACTAGAGTATTTAATGGTACAATGTAAGCAAAAGGGCTCAATCTGCAGATAACTGCTGCTTTGTAGCAAGGATATTCAGAGGGAGTACGTGGTATGGGTGTGCATTGCACTGATCTTCTGAGCCCACAGATTTGACCATGGATGAAATGGACAAAACTACCTGTGTTCAATCTTAGCTACACTGGGTTTCTTTTGTACTACCGTGAGAACTAACATTCCGTGGAAGGTACAAACCATGCTGTGGTTTTCCAGTTAAAATCAGCTTTAGAAAGGTACGTCTATTGATCTAACCTTACACTGCATTGCATGCCCTCTTTCTGCTGAGCTCTTGTGTGAATCTAGTTTGCTGTACATTCTTGATGTTAGTAATGTATATACTTAGGGACTATGCAGTATCATTACACAGAGACTAAAACAATGTAAGGAAAATTCAGAATCCCTAGAAAGGGGAATGATGTATAGTAGGATATAGCTTGAAATATGTTCTGTGGAGTAAGCTGCATTTTGAGTTGATGTCCAATGATCATCTCTTTAAAGATGTTTAGTGTCCCCCTCACACCTCAGCGTCCTACGGATGGTAGGCAGGAGAAGGATGACTGCTGGCATCCCTTGATGACTCCTCAGCCTCTCCTGTGGAACAGCTGGTGTAATCCTCTGTTGCACCATTTCCATTTTGCATTTGGTAGCTCTGTTGCCATACAAACGAGTACAGTTTCAAATGGGAACCTGAGTTCTGTAGACCGAGCTAATGTGAAAGGGACTGAGCAGATTCTTCCAATGCTGTGGGTTCTGCCTGTGGCCATATGTCGGGCACTGCTGGTTGATGCGTACAGCTGGGAGCTTATTGCGATACGGACCTATAGCGCAGGTAAAGAATGTCTGAACTTGGCAACTGGATGCCATGTGTGAACATGTATTGTGTATTTCTCTTGATCTAGGTTTTGGGCTTCCTGTCTTGAAAAACTGTTTGTCTTTTGTACTTGGAAGACATACCCAGATTTTCATGTTTTGCAGTAACTGTGCATGGAAAATTAACTTGCAAATTGCTGTTAACAGGGATTTGGTTATGGCAGTGTCTGGGGGCTCCTCAGTGATGTGATGCAGCTGGAAGGAACTGTTCAGAACAGCAGGTGCTAACTCAGGACAGGTTCTGTTCTTCTCCCTTCCTGCTAGTCCTCTCTCTGATCCTCTTTTCCTGCCACTTTTCACCATTTTGCTGAAGGCTTTTCTGGATTTTTTTCTTCATTTCTCTTGGGCCTAGCCTATTGAAAGGCCCAGTGAACGTAGCCTTGTGTGTGCCTGATGTAAAGTGGTTTGTACTAGAAGGAATGATGTGGAAGACTCATTTTGCTTAGCAAATTAGATACTCCTAGAAGAGTATTACAGATGTATTTGTTAAGGTTTTTGTATCTCACACTGTCTAGTAACTTGAGACTAGACAGCTGTGGTTTGACTTTCAAATTATTTGAAAACTTGCATAAAAGATCTTAAGTTAGATCTAACCCCCTGCTTCATAAAGCCAACGCTTTCTATTATGTCATTTAATATAACTGTATCACAAGTGCCATTTGGCAGATGCTTCAGCTTAAACTTGAGCAGCACATATGAAGTTACTTGCACGTATGTGGTTGGGTGGGATCACAGCCTTAGCTGTCCTGCTGACCAAAAGCAAGACTGCATGTTGCACAAAGGGAGAAAGCTGCATCTAAGCTATAACCTAGTATTCTGGTATTTCACAAAATGAGATATTCCAGTAACTAGGATCAATTGTGCAAATCTCAAAGAAAATCCAAATATTTATCCCATATAGTTCAGATCTGACTCTTGTGCTATATTTATGAAGTTACACAGGTACCAAAACCTAAGCTGGCTTACATAGTAAAGAGCGCTAGTTCTGACACTGTAGTAGATTGTTGAGAGGCACAAGTACTTCTGGAAAAGGTTTAGAAATTGCTTTTCCACTTTAAAATTGCAAGTAGAATTTCAGCAAGGCCTTGTATCTTTTTTAAAAAAGAGGTCCATTGATAAAATCAACATTGATAACTTGTTTTGTGTCACTGTAGTTTTTTTTAATTGTTTTTAATTAAAATGTGTTAAAATATCGATGGCTGTCTAAATCACCACTTGGCACAGACCTACTGAAGGAGTTAGTGGGGGGGAGGCACCCCACATACCTAGCTCCTTACTGACCCTGCTTCCACTTTTACAGCAGTCCAGCTTTCAATTTCATACAAGTGATTAAAACCAACTCTCGGCTGGTGACTGTATTTACATTTTCTCCCCTTTAAACCGAACCAACATGCCACATGCAAAACAAAGGCAAGCTTCCACAAACATTTGGAGTACCAAAGGATTTATTAAAATAAATTAAGATCTTGTTTAGTTCAAGGTATGTGACTTTTGTAATTAAGGTAAACTTCATTGATTCTTTTTGGATAAACTGCATGTGGACTTACTTCCTGTAGCTCTCATTAAATAAGTTAGATTTGTCTTATGATGTACTTGTACTTACTGTATTTAGAGCTATATTCTTTATAATAGATTGTTCCAAGAAAATTTTAATACCTGTGCTTCCAAAATAAGACTTTCAGGAAAGCAATAAATGAAGCAAAAAAGTAAAGAATATTTTGAGTATTTGTGGTAGTGTACTTAACTACCAGACTTTTGAATTATTTTCCCCTGTGGTAGTGATCTTTAATGCTCCAGTTAAGTCCACAAAATACATTGCTATACATTATTAAAAGTTCAGTTTTAAAGCAGAATAAAACTTAGCATTTTTCCCCTTGTATTTGGTAGACTTGAGTCATGCTTCAAATTGGGATGAACCTGCAGTCTCAGTCAAGTTTTACATAGCAAAGTAGATGCCTTCAAGTGACTGGGGTGGTGCTTTTCTGTGGGGATGAAACTATGGTTAGCTTAGATGATGCTCTGGTAAAAAGTCAAGCCCAGTGGGTTAATGATAGAATCATTTAGGCTGGAAAGGACCTTTAAGATCATTGAGTCCAACCATAAACCTACCATGGCCAAGCCCACCACTAAACCATGTCCCTAAGCACCACATCTACACACCTGTTAAATACCTCCAGGGATGGGGACTCCACCACTTCCCTGGGCAGCCTGTGCCAGTGCTTGACAACCCCTGTGGTGAAGAAATCTTTCCCAATATCCAATCTAAACCTCCCCTGGTGCAACTTGAGGCTGTTTCCTCTTGTCCTATCGCTTGTTACTTGGGAGAAGAGACTGACCCCCCACCTGGCTACCCCCTCCTTTCAGGTCATTGTAGAGAGTGATCCTTCTCCAGGCTGAACACCCCCTGCTCCCTCAGCCGCTCCCCATCAGACTTGTGCTCCAGACCCTTCACCAGCCCCAGTGCCATTCTTAAGGCAGTCTTGCCTCAAAGTCCGAGTGTCACCTTCACTATTGTTAATAAGCTCCTTTTCTGGAGCTCTCTCTTGCTCTGTACTGTGGTGGTACGTGTCCTCTTTCATGCATCTGCTGTAACCTTGTGAGCATCCAGGCAGCATTTCCTTGCTCAGACTTCTGCAAAAAGCTAGATGTTATTTTCTGCAATCTCAAGCTAATCAAAGCTGGTTTTAAGACTGATGTTTTTATGTATTTCAAAGTCTGAAAAAATCCCAAACAGAATCTGGAACAAATCAGCTGCTATATGCTGTGGAAGGCCTTGATGGAACAGACACACCTCTGAACATAGCTGAAAAATGAAGGTGTTACAGTCCAGAACATAAGGACCTAAAGCATGTTTAAAGTATCCTAAATCTTCCTTTTTATGGAAATTGCGAAGGGGAGACATACTGGCTACTGCCTAGAGTAAAACTTGTAGAACTTTTCCAGGTCGCTGTTATGTAAGAAAGTCTATTACAACAAATACTGGCTTGGGAAGAAACTGGGTTTTTCTCCTGCCTTGTAATACAGCTGCGTTCTGACTCACTCCTGCATTCTGTTATGTAAGGGAGCAAATCTGACTGACAGGGCAGGTGATTTAAGGCTCAGCAACGTGTTAAGACAGGAAAATGAAAATAGACTTGAAGCCTATTGCACTAATAAATTCCTTTATGCCTTCAGGTCACTTTTGTTTAACCACAGTTCTTGCTTCAACTTCCAAGATGACAAACTCTAGCTATACAACTAGTTGCCAGTTTCCACTAGCCATGACTTCCCATGGAATAAGACAGACTAACTGAAATGCCCCTAATTTTGTGCTTTTATTGCTTTATCTAAATCATCCACTACTTGCTGCAGCTTCTGTAGGCTGGGGTGGACGTTCTCCTCCATCCACTCCTCTACAGTACACTTGTGGAAAACTTGCTCCATGGCTGCTTGGAGGTCTTGCACCACAGCGTTCCACTTGGAGAGAAGACTAAGCAGAAATCAGAAGGAAGAAACAATCAATCACATTTGCAGGTGAGCTCTGCCTCAAGGGAGGGCTAGCTTACTGGGCCTTTTGAAGGGAGTACAGTCCTTAAAATGACTTTACAGGAAAAGCAGCATCTATTACAAGAGCTCAAAGGACTTGATTTTGTGCAGATGGCAAAAGGTTGATGCTGTTTATGTTTAAGTACCATTAATCTTGGCGCTTTTTTATGCAATGACTTTCAAAGTACCGAAATGTGAGCTCAAAAAACCCACTAGACCCATTTTAAGTGTAACTGAAACCCACTGTGAGACTTGTTGGGAATTTAATTCTGTTTTTTATCAGGAAGAGTGGATGCAGTTGGATACTCATCTTACCACTGCAAAGAATGCATAAATTAGCCATTTAGCATGAATCGGCATAATGTCTAGGGCAAGTTCTGAAAAGCACACACAGTAACAGGAAGCAGGGGAAAGGGGTCTGGTTTTATTCCAAGCTCTGCCTGGAACCTGGCCCATGGCGAGCTCCTACACTGAGGCCAACGACTGCTGGGCGATGCAGCAGGCCTATACAGGAGTAACTCCATATACAAGGGACAGTTTTTCAGAGACCAATTTTGTACTTGTATTCAAAGAATTTGCTCAACAGAAGACAGAAAAAGATAAACATGTTCTGTTTAAAACATTATTATGAATACTTCATAGTGTTTGATTTCCACTGATGCTTCTGAAACAATTATAGAAAGAGGCAAGGACTCAAAACTGTATGTACTTGAGTGCCCCAAATATGACAGACTTTATTTCCCCTATAATGCAAAATAAGTGATGTTACCTTACTGCATCTGGCTGAAAGTGATGCATTATTATAGGGTGAATAATCTTCCTTTTTCTGTGGTAGGGGCTGAACCAGCCCGTGACATATCTGCAAATGGATGTAAGTATGAGCAGTTTTGGAAACAGCAGTGACATACTTGTTTGTAGGCTGACAGGGAGGTGATAGGGCTTTAGCTGAACTTCTGCATGCAGAGATAATGCTTAAGGAGTAAGTAAATTTAAGTCTACGTATCTTTGGAACTAGCTTGTAAAAGACTGTTCCTGGCAGATGAGAATAACTGATCATCTGTTGCAGTATGTGTTTCATTCCAAGCTCCTTTTTTTCTTGTAACCATACTGTTAAACATTTTCATTTTAACTTTAAATAACAGTAAGATTTAACTCAGGAAAGAACTAGATTCTTGAAATAAGGCAGCAAATAGTATTTAGGAATTCTGCTGAAATACTTTCAATTTGCATCTAAATAGTATGTTCTGCTGAGGTGTCAATATATAGGGATGCAATGCCTGAAATGCAGAGCTTGATGTTTGCTGGAGTTATGCCCCATTTTGGGATGATACAGCTCCGACACTCCTGCAGACAGACAGAGAATCAACATAAACCACGTTACCTGTTCCTTTCAAGAAGTTCATCCACTGATGACTTGAGATAGAAACTAACTTGCGTCACAAGCGTAAGGATATTGCTCCCAGGAAAGGTCCCCAGACTCGTGCTGTCCAAAGAGGATCCGTTAGTTTCTGGACTTACCATGCAATGAGAAGCATCTGAATCCTGCAGCTGGAATCTTACCTCATGAAAGTATCAGTTTCCAGGTTGGACATTCCCAGGAGCTTTTCAACATTTTCTTTAATCTTTTCAGAATAGCCACCTGGTGGAAGACAGTGGAAATAAGTAAAAGAGCCTAAATAACCAAAATGTTTCTTAAGAGAGGCTTTTTCTGGAGTACTCTGCGTTGGCTTAGTAGTTCTCCTTGGATGAAGATTTTTTTAAAAGGTAAAATGGAAATAGAACAAGGAAAAAAAACTTGGGAGTGGGAGGAAGACATTGTCTTTCACACAATGGTCTTGTGCTAAGTAAAGCACTTCCTAGCTATGAGCTTTCCATTCAGAGTGCTGAATATTTTTAGTGCCTTAGTTAAAAACAAGGAAGTTGTGGTTTTTTTAATTTGAAAAGAAGAAAAGCAGAAAGACAAAAATTCTGTTGGCAACTGCCTGTAAAGAAACCTGAAACTACAGGAAGTATTTTACCAGACAGTGTACTTCCTAGATCAATTTTAAGAAAATTCGTTAGTTAAAACAACCTTTACACGTAAACAAGATCTAAATCTAAACAAAATTAGTCTCATTTATATACCAGTAGTGTTTCAAATCAGTTTCAAAAGCAATTCAGCTTCTTAAATGTTTTTTTTTTTAAGTAAAAGCATGAAGAAGTTTGTGACCATTTAGAGGTTAGAACATAATAAATGATTAGTACACTATGGCTACTTTTTAGTACTTAGGCCAAGAGGCTTCTCTGCTCCCATATCGCAAACACGCAATATGTATAATTTATTGTTCATAATTCAGACCACGATCAGACAGTCAAACCACCTCAAAATATAATAAGCCTGTGCCAACCTTAGGGCAAGGTCACTTCACTCTTGTGCTAGGCATTAGCTGAGAGAGAATAAAGTTGTCATTGTACCATTCTTTAGTGCCTGCAGACATACAGCCAATGACGGGATTGCCACAGGGAGAAGCTCACACAAAACAGAGAAGTGATCATACCTAAATAAGAGAACATTCATCAATTAAGACATTTTACTGTTAGAACATACTAGACAAGTGGGAAGTCTTAGTATTTCAATCACTAAAATTCAAAGAGTTTTAGAAACATCAGTTTCTGTCTCAGAGAAGGGACCTTCTATCTCTGAAACGCTAAGTATTCCTGTTTTCCTAATAAGAACAGATACTTTCTCAAGCCAAATTAGGGTTAGAAATTGGAATTCAGCTTTCCGGTATTCCCTTAGACCTCCTGACTGTTGCATAAAAACCTTTTACTCCTTGATTACATTAACAAACTCTTCTCTCTTATGCAACTTCATTCTATTTGAATTCACATTAGACATTCAGATACACACCATACATTAACTATGCTGTCTATAAGCAGTTCGAGGTGGCACAAAGTACATTCAAGCCTTCAAATCCAATCTGGTGGTGTTAGTGTCTGCCAAAACAATTGCTCCTGCTGATTAATGCTGTAGCAGTTGAGTGGAACTCTGAAATCCACCCTTTGTAGTCAGTGGGTGAGGCCCAGCAGTAACCAACAGGAAAGACTGCGGGGTTGCAAAGGGCCCTTTTAAATCCCCAACCTCCTTGTACTTTTTAGGGAGTTTTTGGGTGGAAGTTTGCTTCCACGTGATCCTTGGAACCATTTAAAAGGATGTTCCTTACCTTTGCCAGCCGGTCAGCGCGATACCTTCAAGGACATCAGCGGGGCTATTGCTTGCCACTTCCAGCCATTGAAGATGGTTTTTTAAGTGGTGTCCAATAAGCGTTAGGGACTGATTCACTCCTGTAGCTCCTTTAAAAGCACTAGCAAACCACACCTTGGAGAAGCCACATCTACGATACTTCTCTATGAGATGCACTGCAATAAGACACAAAAGAATACTTACAGGACAAGTTTTTCTCCATTTTCAGCCTTGACTGTAATGCTCCAATTAAGAGGAAGGCAGGTCCCGTTACAACAGGCTGCTGAGCCTTGTCCCATCAAGTTTTGAGCATCATCAATCCTCTCTGAGCAACCTGTTTTGGTGACTGCCTTCCTATTTTCATGTGCCCAGTTACTATATTCCATTCCCTTGAACTGCCAAATTGCTTCAATGCGAAAAACCGTGGGCATGTGTAACAAGCACACACAACCTCGGACAACCGGTTCTTCTTTCAACAAAAAAATATTTGTATGCATGTTAGATGCCTGAGTGGACCCTTTAAGAGTTTTTCCTCTGAATTATATAGATGTACGAAGCCTTGAAGCTTCTTTTGCAGAGCTGTTCAATATAGAGCTATCTACTCCCACTGGTTTTAATAAAAGCAGAGTTAATGTAACAGTGCTTGTGAAAAACTTCTCAATCTCCATCAGTGAGTCCATAGCCCTGTTGAAAAGAATTAAGCAGCAGACAATGCAAGTCCTTTGTAGGAGAAACATAAACAGAAAAAGAAAATAAATAATAGCAACTGTTATGTGAAATCAAACAAGGGCTATGTTTATGCTACTAAAGCAATAAAGAGTAATTTAACAAAAACAGAATTTTCTGGGGTCCAACTAAGGTATGTTTTAAAGATACTATTTTGGTTTAGTTATTTTGCTTAACAGGTAACGCAGCTCTTTGCTTCTATGCAGCTCAGCAGAGAAGTACAAACCTTTGCCCTCCACGTCGAGGTCTGCCGCATAGTCCCAGATCATTGGCTGCACAAGCTGTGGGATGCCAGACTCTGAAAGGAACAGAGGAGTTCTAAGCAATGGAAAACAGTTAAAAGTGAGAACGAAGTACATGTTATTGGTGCAGCAGCATGTGACTAGAACTAACTACGGCTTGTCACTAGAATTCTTCATTTACAGTTGAAGTGCCCCTGGGCATTTTCAGCGTGGCCAGGGCTTTGAACATGGAGGTCACATGCCGGGGGCCACTAAGGCCTCAGACATCTTGAAACCACTAACGTGGATCAGCAGTGACAATTCATCAGAGATCTCATTCATCCCAAGCCCATCTCGTTCTCAGTCCCTTGCATCTATCGCTATACCTGCTGGGTTGAACTGGTGGAGCTGCAAACTGTGCACACAAGATTTCAGCTAAATTCAAAGGAAATATTCACCCTTTAAGTTACAGGTTGTCTGAGCTGTGTTTGCACAGAACTTAGCTTTTCAAGAGGCCTTTAAAGTACAAATAAAGATACAGGTTTAGCTTCAAATCCCTTTATAATCAACTCTCTGACTAGTTTTAAACATGAGAAACCGACCCCTAGAGAAACCTCAGTAAATTGAACAGAAATTCACTATTTTAACAGCATCCCATTTTAATTTGTTTAGTCTGTTATTGTCTGTGGCAGTAGAGTGCACTTAGCTAGATGCTGTGCTGCTTTTGTGGAAACTGCATGGGTCCCATCTGCATTTTTTGGGATGATTTCCCACTATTATAGCCATGAATAGGTCGGTAACTGCTGGAGGAGCTACACAGCTCTTCATGGTATTGTCTAAATCTGTTTAGAGCAGACACATAAGGTGGCTCTGAAAATGCTGGAACTCCATCCATGCTATGCCTACTCATATTTTAGCAGTGGGTTTGTATTTTTCAACAAACAAGACTTGTGACATCAAGGTCTTGGAGCTACCCCACAATTCAGTATCAGAGTTCCTCGTGATGTGCACTATGACGACATGGACTGTCAAAGATGCTCACAGGGTTGCAGCTTCTCTGTGTGAGTCTGCACCACTGGAACCAGACACTGCACAGAGCAACAACTAACATTAGAAGGTGGTGAGAGGCACAGAAATTTAGACCGAGACCACAAATGTAATAGTTTGGTTTTTTTAATGTGTAAAGAAAGTAGAATTGATGGCAACCACTGCATGATGACCGTTTTGTTTGTCACTGTGTATTACCAGATGGAAAACTGAAGTGTATGTGTTGAGACTTGCCCACGGTCATACAGAAAGTCTGTGACATAGCCAAGGACTAAATGTCTCTAGTCTAATGGATCATATCTCGCCGATTCTCAGACTTCTTGTTTTCATTATTTTCATTTGCCAACAAATCTGTTTTAACTGGTAGTGTAAACTTTAGTAGGCTACAAAATATGACTCACCCCACCATTGGTCACACACCTGCCAATGTTTCCTCGCTTATTGCTCTGAGCATATCATCCCACACGATGGGCGTCACAGTGGGGTAAGATGAAGTCACACAACTTGCAACTGCTTTTATGTGAGATAAGCACAGCTTCTCTGGAGTGTTGTCTTGTTGCTGCAGCCACTGCTTTGACTCCTCTCCTTCGCCCAGGTAGTAGACCTGCAACATCAAACAGACAATCCTGACTTCTTTTACAGGAATAGGGGGAGCAAGTTTGACATTACGTCAATCGCAAAGATATGACACTGAGTGGACACATTTAAAAGCATCTCTCAGTGTTGAAGACACTGCAAGCACTTCTATCAGTCTGCAGGAGACTGTGGCCCTGGCTGAATGCATCATGTAAGGGAATTTTCCTATAGGAACTAAAATATCTAAAGAATAATTAAAGCGTGCTGTATTTGTCTTTGGAAGGTTTGTCCTTGGAAGTAGCTCTCACCAGTTTTACTCAGTTCAAATCTAGCACCCCATAAGGTCTAGAATTATATAAAATGAGGTTCCTGTCTTGGGGAAGATCATTTATACATGAATCTAGAAGTGACTTGGGGGCATGTCCAAGAGTGGCCCCAGCATACTTGGTCCTATGCAAAGAGTGGATTTGGGCCAGTGAAGCTGGATATGCATTTAAACTCTTTGTTGTTTTAGAGCAGGTTTTATCTAAAACACATTTGTTCTCTGTAAATAGTATTTTGCTTTAAAAAAGCTTGCAGGTCCCTATCTAACCTTGCCATTTGTTTCGAAACAAGATTCAAAATGCTAAACTAATATCAGTACAGTTAAGGTGATCATGATGAATTTCAGGGATCTGCGTGCCATAGGGATGGTTTTAAGAAACCTGACAAAGAAGAAAACTCAAAGTTCTCCTCCTCAAGGAGATAAACTACTGACAGAAAAAACCCCACTTCCCACTACAAAAGGGCTTACTTTGAATAAGTTGGCTAGAACAACGAGCCAACATCTTACATCAAAACTCACATAATTCTTAGCGAATACCTCCAATTGATATCTCACTTTAAATACTCAGCTGACCTAAAACCAAATGCTGAGTTAGCTTTAAGAAACTGCTTTCAATACTTTTGATCTTATGCTCAGATCAATAGAAATGACATCCTCTGCTACTGGAATCGTTTACTATCAAAATGACTTTTCTTCACTGGCTTGAATTGGTGTTTTCCATCCCCCAAATCCTACCCGAACGTGGCCTGTGCACCACTGAAATGCAGAAGCCTCAGCCCTTACCTTCACTCCTCACAAAAAAAATATTCCTGGCTCAAGAAAAGTCCCACCTCATCACATCCGATGTGAAACCATTTTAAGCCTTCATGCAGCGCCATGACTTGGTCAATCATGGCTTTCACCAGTGCTCGTGACTCCTCCTTGTGTGGGTTGAGGGCGTTGGGAAACACCTTCACCTCCCGGAGATGAGCAAACTCTTTGTGCTTCAGCACAAACTGCAAGAGAAAGGAGAGCTCAAGGAACAACCGCAAAATGAAGGGGACAGCAGCGTCCTCTTGCATCGCCAGGGCCCTGCTAACAGTTGTCCTGCTAAAACCTGGGTTTTGGCTGTGTATGAGCACAGGAGACAGCACAAGGCCCCTTGCCAGGGATGGTACAGGCAGGAGGGGCACGGCTGCTGCTCCACGATGCCACGGGGGTCTCCGACCACCAAGTACCTCACGGGGTGAGGGAAACAGGGCGGTCAGTGCAGAATCACCTTGGTGTCTGCGGCGTGCAGCTGACAGGAGCTGCCAAACCGGAGCGCTGGGAGTTACGACGGAGATTTCCCAACAAACCACCCGCACACCGTCTGCCCCGCTCACCCAACCCAGCGCTCCCAGGCCTCGAAGGCGCGACGCC